GAGCCGGGGTCTGTCGAAGGTTTCTTCCGTTAAAGGGAGTTTTTCCTCCCCCTGTCGCCAAGTGCTTGCTCAAGGGGGATTTGTTGGGTTTTCCCTATGTAATAATATTGATAACAGTAAGGTCTAGACCTTACTTTGTAAAGTGTCCTGAGATGACTTTTGTTGTGATTTGGCACTATACAAATAAAATTTGATTTGATTTGATTTGACCTGACCAAAGTGACACAGTGGACGAGAGACAGAGAGACTGTGTATAAGGAAGACAATAACCTTCACTATTAGCACTACACTTACCATTCCCACTGCCACAATCATCAACACAACTGCTACTACTAATAGCTCAAAATGACCCCTGCTGGTTATTACTACTGTGATATTTCAACTTTTCCAGCTTTTACCATGAACAGAACTGCTACTACATTTACTATCAGTGTAACGCTAGTAACCGCACTACACAACTACAAGAATAGTCAATAGTAATATCAGATTTTCTGATGTAAATGCGACACGTCTTTGAGAGTTAACCTAAATGTAAAAAATGTTTTTTTGGGTACACAAACACCCCTGGAGAATGCCAGTCCAAAAACCTCTGCTCTTAGCTCTGTTTTTGGTCTCTACCAACTCTGGTTTTAGCTGTTACATACTGTATGTTTAAGAGCTGGTTACTGTGTTTGGTGTTGAGCAGGTAGCGTACAGTGAAGATTCCAGTGTCATCACTGCGCACAACCCATTCACATATTGTTTTCACATTACAATCTGATACACTGTTATTATAAAAACATAAACGATACTGTAGCTGCTTTAAACATATTTGGTAATAAATAATAAGAGTTCCAATGTCTAGAAAAGATTTATGACAAAAATCTGAGGAAACATATATTGCAGTTGAACAACAAACTTTGGTAGATGATAAAAAATTGATAACACAAAAACCAAAATATTAAAAACGTTTTTAACATCAATTACAAAAAAAAAAAAAAAATACTACTATAGTTGTGATGGTATCTGAGCACATGCATTTTGAGTCTGACAAATAAGAAGTGTGCTCTTGGTGTTGCTGGCATGCTGGTGGTGCAATGTGTGTGTTGGTTTACGTGCCCCACTCACTGTAGTGTTAAGGCGGTAGGACATGAGCTCGCTATCGCCATCGGGGGGGATGAAAGAAATGGTGCGGTCGTTCTCGAAGCGTGACAGACGGACACACTGATGAAACTTCACATCCTCCAGCTCCACTCCCTTGGTCTTCTCTCCTGGCACACAAAAATAACACACACAAAATTGCACAAAAATACAGAGCTTTCCATGCAGCCTCAGAGAAATCAAGGTCAAGGTATTGATAACTGACAAATGGTCTCTCTCTCGTACACACGCGCACAAACGCATATATCTGGCTCCTTCTTGTCCTCCAGTGAACAATTATTTAGCTGCCACATACAAACACATCACACACAGTTTGTTGCCATCATCCTCATCACCACTGAAGCCCTTTCAGCTGCCTCTGTAAAACACACTTAAACTACACTAAAATATACATGAGAAAATAAACTAAATATTGTATTTATCAGGTTAAAAAACTATACGCCTCATAAATTTCATTTTCAATTGATAAACTTGCCATTTTCTATCAATCCATGTGCAATAATCCATAATGACAAAGTGAAACCATCAGAAATGTCTGCAAATATATCAAAACATCAGTCATGATTCCCTGTACTTCCTGTTACAGGCTTTTATTTTGGTACTCTTCCACTCTGTTTTTGTCCCCCCCGTTCCACTATCTTTACCTGTTCCAGTGAGCTCATTACACAATCTTGCCATTCCCCATCTGCTAAGCTAGAGGTTCTCTTAGCGATACTCTCATCTGTTGTTTCCCCTCTCCTGCTGATTATAGAGACTACGCTCACCTCTGTTTGCCAGCATCTTCTAGCATCTGTGTGTCAGTAAATCACATAATTCACCCGTACCAGTCAGGAAGTAAAGCCATCTGTCTTTAAGCATCTTAATTACCTGAACCAGTTTTACGGTCCGAGTCCACCACTGTGCTAATCTGCTTGCCTTGTCTTGCATCATCTGCCATCTTGGTTTCAATAAAGACCTTTTGTCCATTGTCTGCATCTAGGTTCTTGATTTACTAAACTGTGACAAGGCGAGCCTAACCTGCCAGATAAACAAAGCCTCAGCTGGAGATAATATTTTTACAATCATTTATGAGGTACTCTGTGATTATCTGTGCATGTATGCAAGTTACAGAGTACGGTGCAGCTATTTTCATTACTAATTCATCTGTTAATGTCTTTTTACATAAATCAATTAATAATTTCATCAGTACGTTTGAAAACTGTTAAATTCTCAACACAATACTGTAACACCCAAAGATTTTCAATATATAATCACATAAAAAAGAGAAAGTCTACAATTCCCTATATTTGAGAAACACAATAATTAAATGTTTATAATTTTGCTAAATAAATAAGGATTTACCAAAAATGAACTGAATGTATTTCCTGTTGTTGACCCACCGATTCAGCTATACACCCCTGACCATCAGGGAAATACTCTTATTTAGCCCATATTTCTAAGACCATAAAGGTGTACAACAGAGGCTGCTATACACAAACCTCAACAGACTGTGTCAGACCATTTTCTTTGTGCACAATATTAGACTTTTCCAGCCAAGTCCTCTCAAGGGTGGAGCAGGAGCGCAGCGCTGCTGCAATGAGCAGTTAAAAGCGTTTAATGGTGAAATCTGCTGGATGCTCTCCTCCTCTGTGGTTAATGGAGGATGCTGACTGGTGGAAAACGGTTGTAAATGCAGTTAAATTCCCCATTCAGCAGGCACCTAAAGCTTCACCTGCTCTGAATGCAACCCTGGACTGGACCTGTGTGAGTGAGTGTGTGCCTGTTGGTGCGTGTACATGTGTGCGTGTGTATGTGTGTGTGTAAAGTCAAGTCAAGAATCTTCATTGTCATTATGCATAGCACAACGAAATTTTTTCCGGCACTTTCCTTGTTCATTGTTCTCTCTCAAGTGTGTGCATGTGCATGGGCTTAGGCATGCTTGTGTTTACAGATGCGGTTAACTTGCATGTTTCTCTATTGATTTGCTTGTGTGTGTGACATTTCCTCATATGTGAGCAGGGCTGGCTGAGGTCAAGTCTAAGGAGAGTGCAACTTAAGGAGATAAGCGCTTTAGAAATGCTTTTCTCATTCTGTTTGTTTCTATGTCACTAACACACACACACACGTAGATGCTTCATTATCAAGAGGAGACAGAAAGGAAAGGTCATAAGTCATTGCTAGGAACTCGGGCTGGAAGAAGAGATAGGTGTGTGTGTGTGTGTGTTGTGTATGCGTGTACATGTCAGAGGAGGACTGCAAATATACAATAGCTGTCTCCCTTGTGGTGCAGGTTTAAAGCTGCTCCTGTCTGTTCCCATGGTTTTAATACACAGAACCAGACAGAAGGTGCCTAATCTATTTTCTGCCTCTTGTTGCACAGTAAAACAAACAAAAAAAAAATCTAGTTTATAATGACATTTAGTAAAAGTTTCTGTCCAAAGCATCTCAGAGTTCTTTCGGTTGCCAGAGGAACAATTTCACAGACAATTCTTAGCATTTGGAAGGCGGAGGAAGATGATATATAGTGTGCAGAGATAACAGTGGACCATTCACTTTATAGAAAATTAATCTGAAACTGTTTTGATCATTCATTCATAATCATTTAAATCACCTTAGCAAAAGCGACAAATATTTTATGATTGAACCTTTTCACTTTGGCTATAAACAAAAAACAAGCAATTTGAAGAGGTCACCTTTGGCATTTTTTCTGCTTTGTGACATTTTATAAACAATATAATTAATTAAAAAATAATCAGCGGGTTTCTTTGATAATGGACATAACTATTAGATGCAGCCCTGGTTGCCTGTATCTCAGCTCCTACTGTCATACAGGATGAGAACATTTTATAAATATCTCACTATCATTTTTGGGAGGGGGGAAAAACAAATCTCAAAACCAACAGCAAACAAATTATACCTAAATGACTTATCTCCGAGTCCTGTAATGGCAGTACTGGACTTCTACCAGCAGAGGGCGGTGTTTAATGATTTATATACACAATTTGGCTGCATTCAGTTGGGTGAAAAAAGTGCTCATCATGCACACATGACAATCACCAGATAAACTGTGAGATATGTAAAAAGTGCAACTATTGAATATGAAAATGCAGAACACATTTTAATATTTGTATGAACATTCAGTACGTAGGTGTTTTTGTATCTGTCAGTGTGCTTGTCTCATCATTATTTCCAATCATAACGAGGTTTTATTTCCCAGACTGCAATACACAGCAGGGGAATAGTGGGCTGCATATACAGGATATCTACAGACCCTCACCTTTCATCTGCAGGGCTGTAGCCTGGGGTGAGGATTAACTCAGCAGCAAAAAGGCTAAACAGTGATGGAGCCTTTCCCTTTCAGTAAGGAGCATTGGGGGGGATGGCAAAGGAGAGGAAGGAAGAGAGGAGAGGAGAAGGAGGAGGACAAGGGATAGGCATGGAAGGGTTTAGCAGTGGGAGGCATTAAAGAAAAAAAATGGTAACACAGAAAGAAAGGAAAAGGAAGATGTGGAAAGATGAAAGCAAAGCTTGTGTGGGATTGTATCCGTGACAAAAAGAGGTGGTGAAGGTGGAAGGATGAGGGTGAATTCAAGGTGAGTGGAGAAAAGGCCAGTGCTCGGCATGTTCTAGCATATTCACAGTTCTTTTTGGCATTTAAAGCCCTGCTTGACAAAAAAATGCATTTTGCTTAGTGTTGCTTCATTTGGATGTTTTGACCTTCTCTGTGCAGGTTGACACTAGCTGGAGGTGAATCAGAACAAATAAGGTTGGGAACCACTGACCTGGCCAACATACAAAAATATTTTAAAATAATAACTGACATTGACAAGAGAACATATTTAGCTCAAAGTATTTTAAGATGTAGCTACATAGAAATATGACTGCATTGCCTCATACACAAAATCACCTGCAGACACTGTAGAGAGTGACGCACCGGTACTTACTGCCTGTGATTTCAAACAGCACTTTGTCATTGAGACCCAGTCTGAGTTCAGGCATCCCAGACAGAACTACTTTGATCTTGATGCTGCCCACTATTTCACTGCGCAGGACGCTGCCACTGGCACTCACCTAAACAAAAAGGAACAACACATTACATTAAACACTGTCGATTAAGAACACAATTGTGATCCTTCTTAAATCTGTCCATGTGGAATGTGAAAATTGACTTCAATTGTGATCCTTCTTAAATCTGTCCACGTGGAATTTGAAAATTGACTTGAGAGTGCACAAGGCAAAATAATTGTGCACTTAAAGTTGCTTTATTTAAATGATGATTCAGTGATAAGACAGAATCACAAAAGTCCCCAGGTCATAAATTTAACAAACCAAAAGAACAACCATTCAGCAGATAAGAACAGACTGAGGGACAGGACTGAAAGGCTCTCAGCATGAGGTGTGAAAGATGTCATCAAGGTGCTAAAGAGGAAGAAAAAGCTGAAAACATTTTACAAAGTTCCTGGTCACAGAAAGGGAAGTAGCAACAGCAGCACTCTGCCTGACTCATTGGGACTGAACTGCCTGCTATAGACACACTGTACACACAGCACTGTCATAAAAGGGCAGAGAACATATTCAGAGCTCACACTCAAGCTCAGACACAAAAACCACACCCACAACCTCACGCACAGCAGAGCGGACAGTATCATCACACACAGAACAAGATTTTACAGCAGCTTTTTCCCTGATGCAGTAAGACTGATGGCAAATACAGAATGTGAGAAACCTGTGCAATAACCCCTCATTACCCTACTAAGTAGAACACCATACAAAATTCCACTATGTGCAAAACCATGTGCAATGTCTGAAACTCCCCATTTTACCTGCTATCTCATTCCTGTATCCACAATTTTATTAACTATTTTGTATTCTTGGGTATTCTTGTTTTTTGTATTCTTAGGTGATGTATACAAATTAAAAGTTAATGGTTCTGATAAAAACCAAATGAACCACGGTGCAGAAATTTTCCACAGTAGGGTGCACCTGTGTGAAATTTAAGATGCGATGTTGACAAAGCAAACATGGTCCTCACCAGTAGATTTACTGACTCAATGACATCCATAAAAACTTCATTCTTCCTGTACTTGATGCCCTCTGACCGCCAGGACACAGCGTTGGTGACAGTGGCTGGAGGTCGAGGAGCCCCGACCTCTAATTTATGACCCTGTTGGGTGATGTACCTGAAAGAGACAAAGAAACAATAACACAGGTCAAACCATTAACAAAATCCGTCTGTAACCCAGCTGCCAGAACACCTGAAAAGCCCCATGAAGCACATGCACCACCCTAGTTTGAAAACTAATGATCATAAGGCCTCATTAAAGTGTTTTGGAGAAATGACAGTGGGCTGCATTGTTAAATTATTATTAAAACTCTTGTTTTCCTTCATCAACTAAATAATATTCTTAAATCTAAATAGCAAATGACAAACAACGGTAGTATGTGTGTATATCTTGCAACACAAATCCAAGCTCTCTGGTGGAATGCATGGATCTAGCTGTGAGAGCGCTGCGCCCTAACCACTAGTCTATCAGGGAACATCTGTGTTTATTTATTTTAAAATGATAGTGAAATATGTTCTATCAGTGTTAAAATGGGTTAAGATGCAGTGACTAAGACTAATACATTATTTGAAAAGGTGCATATCATTTATTAAAGAGCAGGCACTGCACAATTTCCAAAACCATACTGGACAAATATTGGCTCTCTTTCGAGCACCTAACGTTTGAAGGACATATCAGGCTCTTTAGCTGCCACTATGTTCACCAGATTGTTGCTAACTTTGTCTGTCAACAGTTTGATGCTAAAATCCAGCAACACTTGCAGTATATAGAATTACTTTATTGTAAGACCAACACATTTCAGTTTGTGGCCTTCATCAGAGTCTCTGTACTCTGTGAAGTTGTGACACAAGTTCCTGCTTTGCTTTGAGTTGTTTGGTTCTAGAGAGGTAGTGTATAGTGGATTTTAGAGCCCCCCCCCAAACAATGTGCTAAACATGCATATTAATAAATAAATTAATAATGAATATGTTCCATGTACTCTGCTTAATTTTGTCTAGATTGTGTTTATATACATTTTTATTAGGAAGAATATTCTTTGGCTATCTATTGATCTATCCAATAAAGGTGCACTGAGTTTTCTAGTCTACTCGTGTGCAAGCTGGAGTGCCAGTTTGTTTCACCAGTCCTCTCTGACTGTGTCCAGGGAGACATAACGACTTGTCATGAGAATAGAATAGAGCTGTAGTTAGATAAACATCATGTGACCGGACCTGTTCTTAACCAAACGCTGTCCCCCACTGCTTCACACAGGCCCCATTTCTACTACAGAGGTGTCTGGATATTTATGGCACCCAGTTAGTTTCACTAGAATGTTACATTCGCAAGAGAAAAATAATGGCGACGGTTTTCTGCATAAATTGGTCATAAAATGTGATCCTATCTTTACCAAAGTCCCAAATATCAACAAAGACTATTTCTAAGCTGATTAAACACAAACAGTCATCATCTTTCATGTCTTTCCAATAAAGTCACTCAAATTTTGGATCTAACATTAAAGAAATCCGTTCATTCTATATATTTACATACTCGTGCTCATTAGTTAGTAACTGTCTGCTGTTTGCTGTCGGCCAGGTGCAGTCCACCTCACTGTTTGTTTTTAGCGCCTGTTTGTTCAAACCAGCTGCCTGCTGCAGCCAAACGCGGTATGAGAGCCATGACAGTGAAACTAAACATTGCAGTTGCAGTCAGACATGTAAACAATGAGCTGAAACTCACTCTAAAGCACCACGTAGCTGAGAGGAAATACTTCTCTTAAGGTTCATCACAATGACCGACTCCTTTTACACCGTCATGTTGTTTTTTGCATTGCAATTCATTGTTTTTTAATATCCATTATAGCTGCTCTAAATGAATTCTAGTGTCACAACTCAACTAGAAACAGTAAGTGAAGTGCCTTGTTTTCAGTTCAAGTGTACATTTTCTATTTAAATCAACACAAAGAGCACTAAACAAACAAGATTTAGATTGACTGACAGATTGAGGCAACATTTTCTCCCTCGTTTTCTGTCCCACTTCCTCCCACCTAGAGGGTCTTGAATGCATGTTGACACACAACAAAAAGTGCCGAAACATGAAAGTCAACAACAAGTGGAGTCGGGGTCGATGCTGGGTTGTTTTGTTACTTTACTGTTTGTTGTGTTTTGCCCTGATTCTCCTCAGAAATGCTAATGAGAGGCTCTGGATGCGGGGCTGGCAGCAAACTGACAAGATTAGCAGAACAATAGCAATCATAACAAATACACACACACACACACACACACACACACACAAAGGTTCATACGAAGACACACATGAACTCAATAACATGCATATTCATCCCCGCAGTCTCACTTGCTCAGGCTCTTGCACCCCCACCCCCATTTATACTCTCACCACGCTATAATGTAAGAGAAATGGAGTGTTTTTAAGGTGGTTGGGGCAGGAAAAGGTCAGAGAACTAGACTAGCCTGCAGACACAGTGAACATGGGTGTGTACCGTCTCTGTGTGTAGGTGTGTGCGCAAAAGAGAGCTGACACTTTTGTGTGTCTCCTTGGAGAAGAGAAGAGCAGGGCTTTTCTGCCTGAGAGTCTCAAGTGTGTCCAGCTGACAGTGTCATTGTGTCTGGGTGTCAATAGGAGC